CTTTGGAATGAAAAAAAAAAAAAAAACTACTAATATAGTAAAGGATTACCTTAACTAACACAAAACTTCACAATCTTTCACTGTAAAGAATTACCTAGTAGAGGATTACCTTAACTAACTAGTAAATCTAGTAAAGGATTACCTTAACTAACGCAAAACTTCACAATCTTTCACTGAGGAAAAAAGTGAGTTTGTGGGCACTGGATAATCATGTTCTTGTATATTAACCTCTCACGTCCGCTGCAAACAAGTCTTAGAGTCATTCTTACACATTGACCATAAGGCAATGAGAGGTCCATTCTATCTAAATTTCCCTACAAAGTTGTTTGTCCTGCGCTGAATTATTCCAAAGGGATAAGAACAGTACAGTAACTGAACAAACGTCTCAGTGCTGATGTGTGACGTGACATCTAAAATTTAATCTGGTTTTGACTTGTGCTTCGATTCGGCTCACAGCATTTGGGGAACTTTGTAATATATCAGGAAATACTTTCATTTGCTCATGGCTTTGAGCTAGAAAATTACCAGCATTGTAGCACGATGGTAGTGCTAAAACTCTTCTTTGATTAAGGAAAGGTTCAGAGAGGAAGGTGCAATTCCAATGAGAAGAACGCAGCATCTACACAGTCCTGTAACTACACTCAGGTGCACCACCTGGGTACCCGGCCTCTCAATTCTGTTCCCAAGCCAGATTTCCTTTAGTTTCCTCCCACCAAGCCCAAACAGCTTAATAGAGAAGTCATTTTTATTGGCTCTATAGTGAGGCTTTCTACTTTCTTTCTTAGCTTACACAGTTTATTTACAATTCACATCTTAGGTGCTTATGCCTGAATGTTTTCACTCTTTCTGTCCAATAATTTCTGTGTTTCAGATGAATTCACCTTTGAAGAATACAATGCCCCTTGCAGTGCTGGTAAAGTATAAGTGGTTCAATCTAACTCCAATTGAAAGAAACTAAATAAGCATTTCAGTTAAACAGTAAAGACTAATCCCAACTTCAAAATAAATAAGCATCTCAGTTCTCTGCATACGGCTGCTTCTTGTGATGAATGTATTCTTTCCAAATCCTAAAATCCCCTGATGTACCATATTTCAAATGTATTATAGAATTTCTCAGAAAAAAAAAAGCAAGTTAAATAGAATTACTGGTGTCTTGGGTGACCTGTTTGAAGATGAATCCAAGAATTTGCCACATATAAAAACTAAATTATCTAATATGTAGTTTCCATTCTATACCCAATGGTGATAAATTCATCACTGATAGCCTTTCTAGGATATTTCTAAGTGTACACTAGTTAAAGTCAAGAAATTTGTCACTGTAATTATGCATATAGCACAGCATGAAAGGTGTGATCTATAAGACCTTCCTTTAGGATGATTGACAGTGTTCATCTTTGACACAGAATTTGCCATGAAATCTTTGCTTCTCTATTTTTAAATATGAAAAAAAATGGAGAACATCCCTATCATTAAAAGTTACTAAGTTCAAATATTTATAACTGAAATATAAAGAATTATTCTTAAATAGGTCACAGAATTTCCCTTATATTTCTCCCTTTTCTTTTACTATTTAGAATCTCAACAAGGAAATGCTTGAAAACAGGAACTTACGGACCTCATCAGATGAACTTCTTCAGAAATGAAGAACAGACTTACCGAGAGAGGACAGTAAGAGAAAGAAGGGAAGATCATTGGAAATATATAAAATTTGTATGTTGAATAAATTTATGGCATTTATAACTCTATCTTTTCTTTTGTTCTTTATCAATATCATATTCCCTTTCTTGAATATGTATCTATTCTCCATAGCATATTAAATAGCAAAAAAGCTATACAAAGAGGTACACCCAGAAACACTACAGGTGAATTAAAGTGGAATTCAAAAAAATGTCAATTAACCCACAAAAAGGAAAAAGAAAACGGCTTTTCCAAACATTGGAAACAACAGTAGGTCCATGAATAGATGAACGATTTGGCAGTCTGTGGCTCATCCTTACAGCTGGTTCTGCTGGACAGCAAAGAGGAACAAACGACTGACAGACACAAGGACTTGAGTGCGTCTCAAAAGCGTTAGGCTGCATGGGAAAAAAAGCCAATCTCAAAAGGTCACAATCTGTATGATTTCTTTTATGGGTGTGACTGTAAGTGGGTAGCATTAAAGAGTTTTTGTGATGATGAAATCCTGCCTGTGTGGAAGTGAAATCCTGCTTCCGATTTTTGGATTTAATTCCATCTCAAATTATTTTCTTGTTTATTGGGTGGTGAGTAAGTGAGTATTTAAATTGACTTGTTTTCCATGTAGCTTTCTAATGGTCCTATTAACATTGATTAACCAATTCAATCTTTTCCTGCTAATAAACCATGCCTCTGGGCCAGGTGTGGTGGCTCACGCCTGTAATCTCAGCACTTTGGGAGGCTGAGGCGGGCGGATCACGAGGTCAAGAGATCGAGACCATCCTGGCCAACATCCTGACCATCCTGGTAAAACCTCGTCTCTATGAAAAATACAAAAATTAGCTGGGTATGGTGGTGTGTGCCTGTAGTCCCAGCTACTCAGGAGGCTGAGTCAGGAGAATTGCTTGAAGCAGACAGGTGGAGGTTGCAGTGAGCCGAGATCTCGCCACTGCACTGCAGCCTGGCGCCTGGCGACATACTGAGACTCTGTCTCAAAAATAAATAAATAAATAAACAAACCGTGCCTCCTTTATCACATAATAAATTATCATGCATACTAAGGCTAGTTTCTAAATGGTCTATTCTAGTCCATTGAGTACCTGGTCTATTCTTTCATAAGGATTCAAATATTTGAATTACTGTAGCTTAATCAAATGTTTTAATAAGCTGCTATGGCAGATGTATTTTCATTTCTCTGTTTTCACTTTTTCTTGTATTACTGATTTGTGTCCCTACCAAACCTCCTGTTGAATTGTAATCCCCAGAATTGGAGGTGGGGTCTGGTGGGAGGTGATTAGATCGCAGAGGTGAATCCTTCATTAATGGTTTAGCACCATCCCCTTGCTGTTGTACTCGTGATAGAGTTCTGCAAGGTCTGGTTATCTAAAAGTGTGTAGTACCTCCCCCACACCTTGCTCATTGTGCTCTCGCCATGTTAGAAGCCTGGCTCCCTTTTAAGCCTTCTGCCATGATTGTAAGTTTCCTGAGGCCTCACCTCTCGAGAATCCTAGCAGAGGCCAGCATCATGCTTCCTGTACAGCCTGCAGAACTGTGAGCCAAGGAAACCTCTTTTCTTGATAAATCACCCAATCTCAGATATTTCTTTATAGCGATGCAAGAATGGACTAATGGAATTACTGAGATCATTATTTGTTCAAGTTAAAACTCTAGAATCTTTGAAGTTCATTATCCCCATAGTCAATTATGTCTTGTTTGGAATTTGATTGAATATATGAATGAATTTATAATTGTCCTGAGTGTCAATTTTTTGCATTTAATCTTCCCTATTCAAACCCATTTTATATTTATTTACTCAATTCACATGAAGCAAATTCTAACTCTGACTTAATTTCTAACTTTGGACTCAACTACAAAGTTAAAAATTTGCTTCATGGACATATATTGTCAGATACTTTGAAAAAATTAAAAAATGTATACGTGAGACAAATTAGAAGATTTTTCCAAGGCAGTGAAAAGCTAAAACAGTATTTCTCATTTGCTGATCGATGTCATTGAAACGTTTTAAGCAAGATAGTAATTCTGATTTGCCTTATGGATAGTCATCTTCAGGCAATGGCAAGAAGAAGAAAGCAAGTTTTTCCTGAATCCCAGGTTCACAACCCATTTGTGCAGAGCTGAGCTCTCTTCTTCGTGCTTAACGAAATGATTTAGGAGACATATCTCTATTCCACATTTACACAATTCTACACTTTGAAAATGATTTATTTTACTATCATCCACATACTCATATCTCTTTGAAAGCCAAACCTGTATCTTAATCATATCTGTGCAGCCTGTTCACCCAACACAGTGCTGGGAGGTTGTGGGCACTCATGAAAACAAAGGAGTGATTGAGTGTGTCAGTGCCTGAGTGAGCCGATTTCTGTAGGTAGAAAGTTAGAGGTGACATGGAGTAACACTAAGGTGTCCGCACACGCTAGTAGGAAAAATAAGCTAGAAAAATCATTTTGACCCAAACCTGGTTTGAGCTGTTTAATGTTTCACAAACACTTTAAGGAATAAGATTTTGATACTTTTCCAAAGTCAAACTAATGAGAAGGAAAAACATTTGGTTATTTATTGGGACTTTGAGCAAAACTTGTTTAAAAGTACATTTCATATTCAGTGAGCTTTAAGTGGGAAATCATGACCACTATCTTGCAAAAGAAACTGTTAACAATTATTAGAAAGGTAAATACAAATGATCTTTGTTATAGTTTCAGTTGTATCCCCCAAAAATATATGTTGAAGTCCTAACCCCTGGTACGTATGAATGTGACTTTACTTGGAAATAGTGTCCGTGCAGATGTAATTGAGATGTAAGTTAAGATGAAGTCATACTGGAGTAGTGTGGGTCCTTAACCCTGTAAGACTGGTGTCCTATCAGAAGAAATGATATGTGTACAGAGGAAAGGTGATGCAGACAGACACACAAGGAAAACTCTGTGTGACGATGGAGACAAACACAGGAACACCAAGGACTACTGACAACATCAGAAACTAAGAGAAAGGCATGGAGCAGATTCTCTCTTAGAGCGTTCAGTGGAATCGTGATCCTACAAATACCTTGATTTTGCACTGCCACCCTCCAGAACCAAGAGAGAATGAATTTATGTTATGGTAAGCCGCCGACTCTGCAGTATTCTGTTATGGCAGTCCTAAAAAATTATTATAATCTCAAATTAAAATAATATCTTTTCATCATTGGCCAAGTTTACTTAGCAAAGTTTTAATTGTCATTTAAGCAGATTCAAATGGTTGAGTGGAGGAAGAATACATGTTTTACATATTTCCACAGAGTTTAATTTCACAATGAAAATGTCTTCTGTAATTTAAAACAAGCCAAAAAATATTAAAATCTGGGCCAGTGCAGTGGCTCACAATTATAGTCCCAGCTACTCAAGAGGCTGAGCATAGAGGGTTGCTCAAGCCCAGGAACTGGAGACCAACCAGGGCAACACAATGAGAACTCATCTCTATTTTAAAAAATAAATAAATAAGAAAATCTGAGAGGTGAGGTTCAGTTTTCCATTTCTAGCCTTCTGTTATGCTTAGAGCTTGTCTCACAAAAGACAAATCTCTGTGTTCTTAAAGTTCTCCAGGAACAACTTTCTTGTTTATTTCTGTGGTAACAAGGAAAATTAAAAGATGATTTATAATGAAAAAGCAAATCTATGCATGAATGTCTGGGTGAAGGGTTGATTTATTAATCTGTTTCACATACCCCCAAAGGGATGTTTGATTATTATTTAATGCAAAGTAGACGCATTGTTAAAGATCTTTATTAAGAATCTTTTTTTTTTTTTGAGGCTGAGTCTGGTTCCATCGCCAGGCTAGAGTGCGGTGGTGGGATCCTGGCTGACTGCAACTTCCGTTTTATGGTTTCAAGCAATCCTCCTGCCTAAGACTCCAAAGTCCTGGGACTGCAGGCATGCACCACCATACTAGGCTAATTTTTTATATTTTCAATAGAGACAGGGTTTCACCATGTTGGCTAGGATAGTCTCGATCTCTTGACGTCATGATCCTCCTGCCTTGGCTTCCCTGAAGTGCTGAGATTACAGGCGTGAGTCAATGTGCCCGGCCAAGAATTTTTAAAACATAAAAAGCCACTTAAACAACAATAATGTGAGAAATATCTTTGTGCATTTCACTTAGTCTCAGGCGCCTTGTAAAATTTAGGCATGTGAATTAATACAATAGCAAAGAATATTCAAGATACTAAAGGCAAGGGTTCTATGTAGATTCAAGTTGTTGTTGAGCAAAGTTTTGCCTAAAAAAATCTGTGCCAAGATTTAATGTGTACTTAATTAGACAGGAGGAAACTTGTCCGGTCCAGTAAATGATCTCTGATTACTCAAAGTCTGTTAATATATTAACAAAAGACTTTCATCATCAGTACACTTGAATAACACTTGTCCCAAAATACTCTTTCCAGATTACTGAGCAGCTTAATGCAAAATTAAATTGCCTCTCTGTAGCAGGCATAAAAAACCAAAATATTGAAAATAAAAGGGAATGCCTTTATCAAAGTGTATAAGTTAAAGAGCACTTTCCTATAAAATATTTTATAATTCATATTGGGCTCACAGATAAGTATTATGAACTGTGGTAACTTTCTTTTTTCTTTTCTTTTTTTTTTTTTTTTGAGACGGACTTTCACTCTTGTTGCCCAGGCTGGAGTGCAATGGTCGCAATCTTGGCTGACTGTAACTTCCACCTCCGGGTTTCAAGCAATTCTCCTGCCTCAGTGCCCTGAATAACTGGGAATACAGGCACGTACCACCACCCTCGGCTAGTTCCGTATTTTTAGTAGAGATGGGATTTCACCATGTTGGCCAGGCTGGTCTTGAACTCTTGACCTCAGGTAATCCACCAACCTTGGCCTCTCAAAGTGCTGGGATTACAGCCACTGCACCTGGCCAACCGTGGTAACTTTCTGTTTTGACAAATTTTAGATAAAAACATAATTTTAAAAAGATAAAACCATGATTCTTAAGCAAATATAAAAAGAACACACATATCAAAGAAATAACCAGTAGGGTGTTATTATGAATTCAAAGAGT